CATTCCCCTACGTTAATGGAATATGAATACTTTCAATAAATTGTTCCTTGTAACACAAATGGTAGAGGGGCCAGAATGAAGTTAAAATTTAGTGACAGTTGGATGTGGTTAACCGAACAGTGATTTGTCAGGATACCCGACAAGATCGAAAGTTTCTCATTTTCTCCGAGCTCTCCAGTTCAACTTTCATTCCAGTAATTCATGTTCAGACGATGCAGATTTTTGGCTTTTACTACGAATAAAAGGTTCTTCTTATATTGAATTTGTCTACATTTAATCAGTTCACGTATCCTCGTGATGTTAAATTCAACTGAAGTTTACATCAAATGGTGCATATGCTCGGTATCGTATAGCCATGACGATCATTTTTGTAGACAGAGTTTAGCTACTTATTAGTAAGTCTAAATGCTACGATAAAATTTAATGACAAATATACGCCCACAGGATGCACAAAAATGATTGTTGAAATTATGCAATAAACAAAGTTCAAAGTTTCCGAAGTGAAAACAACTTATAATAATAATAATAAAAACGGTATATTTCGCGAAGCCCGTGAGGCATGCTAGTGCGCATGATCAAATGATCAATACTGACAAGTTTCTAGCTTAAATCACACGAATGAAAACTCCACTGACGCTGCGAGTAAAAAGTGCTGTTGTGCATATGCGACACCCAGTCTAATTTACTGGAAGGTCAACTGTTTGAATAAAAATGAGAATTTAAATGTTACAAACCACAGATAGCCTCCACTTCATTTATAAGGATCTCTGTGAAGAACTAAAAACAAAACAATAATAAATTTCCACGTAAGTATTCCAACTTATTTTATTCTCAAAGTGAACAAGTGATATCCTTTTCATACTACGGCCTGTCCACATGGGTCCCGAGAACCGTGCCCAGAACAGAATTCACTCTATCCTCCGAAGGATATCGTCACATATCAATTGGCATCACCACAAATAAAATTTAGGATAACTGATCAAAAGTTTCGCATGCGGGCTTAGGTATGATCTGTGTCGTCTTATCAGTCCCTATCGAATGTAACTGTCATGCCACTCGTTTGTATCCGTTCCAAAGTCCAGATTGAAATTTTCGGTCTTCCTCTTTTCAACATTTAATCAAGCACTTGTTGAATAAAGTTAATATTCTGAACCCCCGGATTTCTACCTTATAGAGTGCATAATCATTACAATATACGCAGCAAAAAAAATCACGACATGGGGCTATTTGTGATCCGAGAGATTTGATGGAATCCCAAAGGAAATACATACATCGTCAAACGTGTCGAATCACCGATTTTCTACATTCGATCGCTTCAGTTCTGTAGTCGTTAAGGAGGACTCTGAAGAATCGGACTTTGTGCCCAAATACACGCTCTTGACAGTTAGTCAATATAGAAACATGTCAACAGTTCCGGGGCAACAAATAGTCATGTTCGTAAAGAATCCAATCAAAAATCTCTGCTTTAACACCGAGGATAGTATCAGTACCTGTACTGTAGACTGTCCAACGTTTAACGGCATGAATACAGGAGAGCGAGAGTTCGCATCAAACCACCAAACGAAGTACTCGTGCGCCACTTCTCGTTTATTGGACAGTAAGAATTGGAACAAAGTTTTGATCGGCTTTTCCGGAAATCATGATCATTAGCTAATGTTGGCCAATAGCAACTTGCAACGGTGGGCCAAGACTAAAGTGATGCAATACGGTATACGATATGTTTTCAAGCAACGAACTGCAACTTATATTAGACAAAAGTCAAGTCAAAGTAAGCTTTATGGTGAATTTTCACGATAATACGGTGGAGCTGAGGTGAATGGTCTCCGAGTATGAATAGGTTAATTTAAAAAATAAAAACGCAGGAAGACGATAGTGATGGATAAAAAAAACGAATAAATAAACTAACTCATGAGGTGCTCAACCAAACCTGTAATAATAGGTGCCCGATTTACTAGAAAGCGAGCAAGAAAGGGGAGGATGCTGTTTCTGTATCCGGTGAGTGCAGGAAGCAGCTTATAATGGGAGCGGGTACGGGATGTTGACGTGGATTTGATAAGTTCGTTGTACAAGATTCTGTCGGCTTTTCTTTCACATGCGTCGATATGCTTGCACACAACAAAATCAACCAGAATTTGTCTGGTTATGCCACTACATCGGGACAGGAGTTTTATGGACCTGGAAATCAATACGAAATTTTTTTCTTTTGGGCCGGGAAAAAATACAGGGGAACAGCAGAGCGAATGAGGGAGGATGCATGCTACCACGAATTTTAAAATTACGTTTGGGGGAACAGCAAGCTTCGGAAGCCTGAAACCATAAAAAGAGAGTTTACGAACCTTGTTGTAAACGCTCTCCACATGTAAGGTCCAAGAGAGGGATAAAAAGACTCAGAGGTATTTAACAGAGTCAACTTTGGGAATGCTGTGACTGTTAACTACTAGATCCGGTAAATTATTAAAGGTAGTTCGATAGCGGGAGCCAGATTTAAGGCTGAAGGGCACGTCGACACATTTGGAAACATTAAGCAACAGTGATCGGGGTAAAGACCAATTAAAAACGTCATTCAGGTTACTTTGAAATTGATGGAAAGAAGCATCAGTATTGGAGGGGCTTCGAATAACCATATCGTCGGCATACAGGCAATAAAGTTGGCGGGGACAGGCAGGTTTATG